GAATCACTCGTCCGTTTCTGTCGCGGGGCTCACTCTGGAGCCCCGCTAGCAGTCGCTCAGCAGCCAGTAGTTTAAGCAGTTGGTATTGCCGGCGTAGACGAGTATTCTTGACGATATTCACTACAATTAACCCAAGACGTTTTATCTGGAACAAGTTTTCGAGATTTTGTCAATTATTCTAAACTGTATGCTTGAAAACGTTCCGCAAATACTCATAAATCACTCATTAGTACATTGAAAGCCAAACATTTGAAAGTGGTGAAGTTGGTGTTACAGGCGTTTGGTGTTATTTAACTTGAAAGTTTGCGAATTTAGCCGGATGTTGCTAATTAGGCTAAGAAACTTATTTATTCTCCATGACCATCAAGCGCACTTTCTGCCGTTGCCTTAATAATTTGGGGTTGCGCAGTTTTCCTCGTGTACCGCTAGATGCATTCAAAAGAGTACATTATTATATCTTTATTATAGTACCAGCGCTAGCATACACTTGTTGACCTGTGTAAACCTTGATATACAGAGGCTCGCAGTTCAAAACTGCGAGTGGAAACACGGGCTTCCGCCTCACATTTTCGCAAGCCATTTTAGAATAATTGAATTGCTTTAATTAGAAGAACAATAAAGTTCAGTCCATGTTTGAGTAACACTAGTGTATGCAAAAAATGATTGCTTTCTGTTTTCTATGCGTAATTACACTAAAATCCGCTTTTGATTTAATTCTTAAGGCATCTATATGCAATAAGTTATACAAAAAATACAGCAACCTTTAAAAAATATTCATATGGTACATGCTGTATATAATCTTACAGTGCTAAAAGCGAACTTCTGACAGACCGTCAAAAGTAGTGGTAACTCGGCACTAAAAATAAGCCCAGCGGGACTTCAAGGTCTATCAGCCAAATAGCACATAATAACAAAGTTGTCGTGACGATACTAGACGGTAGAGAAGTGAGTAACCTAGCCATTTATTTGTGAATATAAGATTATAAAAGAAAATTTATTCAGAAATTTATATCGAAAAACTCTTTGTTCAATTTTTTTGCAAATACAAGTGAACGTGCGAGTTTCAGAAAATAATTGAGAATACTAAGAAGACGTAATCCCTTGGACATTTTTTTGTTCAACCGACGTTTCGAATTCCCTCGCAGATCTTTCATCAGAGACACAAACGGAAACAGTAGCAAAAATCTTAGAAAAAAATAATTTATATTCAAATGTTAGACCATCTGACGAATGTAAATCTCATACCTCCTTCTCAACATGCCTGTTTACCCTAAAATTCATGTCAGTACCGCCATCTCACTTTCTTGAAATTCGTCTCAAGAAACTGAGATGACGGGAACACTGCAGTTATAACTTACTTTTATCTAAAAGCCTTTGACCATGTTCCCCCTAAAGACTGATCGTGAAGCTAATGAGTCGCGGGATTCGGCCACCCCTCCTTGATTTTCTCAAATCCTATCTTCAAAACCGATCCCAGATAGTACAGTTTCGAAATATAGTATCATAACCAGCTCATATAAGCAACGTTGTTTTTCAAGGCACTATCCTAGCCCCTCCCTTATTTCTCATTTACATTCATGAGTTATCTACTGTATCAACTTCTGCTAAAACATTTTTATATGCAGACGACATAAAATTCGCATATGCATATAATAAGCATTCAATAATTAATGTGCATAAAACGATAGAGTCAAGTCTTACAAAACTAGATGGCTGGAGTTCTAAATGGCAAATGCCATTCTCACCAACAAAATGCCATCTCTTGATTTTTGGACCATTGAAACGTCCTCCCATAATTTTTACCGACCAAGAAATTAAAGAGACAATATCCTTAAAAGATTAAGGTCTTAGCTATACAAACACTCTGGACTTTTCCCCTAACGCTAAACAAATACCCTAATAACAATTCGGTGCCGAATCTACGCTGAAATTTATTAGAGGTGACGATTAATCTAAGACGATTTTATGAAGATTTTGACGCGCATATCTACGTAGAATCGGTGTCGATGGTCGGCATAGAGTCAGTGCCAGACCATGCGCAGACCATAAATGTGTTATCATCACCTATGATTAAGGATTCCCGAGGAATCCGAAACGGTAGGACCATAAACATTTTGTTCCAGTGATCGATTCTTCTTCTTCTTCTTCTTCTTCTGAACTATTTCCTGGAACCCGAATATTCTCCTCTGTTGGCGATAACGCATTTCGCTCTCGCCTTTTCAAGCGATCGTATGCCCTTCGGAAGGTTGACATCAGGGCATCTTGAAACATTGTGTAGCGTAACTTGTGACTCACGTTCCATCTGTTAAAGGCCTCTGC